GGCAAGAACATAGATTGACTTCAGTTAAATCAATGGAATTAATGTTTCAAAAACAGCAGGTTGACAATGGGGGAAAGTCTATACAGAACACGGGAAATGGGGAAGCTGGAGGAAAGGCTGTAACAATTATACAGTAATAAACGATTTGTTGAGCAGTTGCCATGTGCTAAGCATTTTGCATGAATCATTTAATCCACGCAACAACCCTACTATTGAAATCAAGAAACTATAAGTTAAGTGACTTTCTTTCTCTCTCTTTTTTTTTTTTTTTTTTTTTTTGAGATGGAGTCTCACCACTCTATCACTCAGGCTGGAGTGCAGTGGCACAATCTTGGCTCACTGCAACCTCTGTCTCCCAGGTTCAAGCAATTCTCCTGCCTCAGCCTCCCAAGTAGCTAGGATTATTGATGTGCGCCACTACGCCCAGCTAATTTTTGTATTTTTTTTTTTTTGAGACGGAGTTTCACTCTTGTTACCCAGGCTGGAGTGCAATGGCGTGATCTCAGTTCACTGCAACCTCCGCCTCCTGGGTTCAGGCAATTCTCCTGCCTCAGTCTCCTGAGTAGCTGGGATTACAGGCACGTGCCACCATGCCCAGCTAATTTTTTGTATTTTTAGTAAAGACAGGGTTTCACTATGTTGACCAGGTTGGTCTCGATCTCTCAACCTCGTGATCCACCCACCTCGGCCTCCCAAAGTGCTGGGATTACAGGCTTGAGCCACCGCGCCCGGCCTGTTAAGTGATTTTCTTAAGATCACTAGTGGTAGAACTGAGATTTGAACCACAACTGCAGGACTTCAAAGCCTGTGGGCTTACTTAGTCTTATTCATCTTTGTTCTGGGGAATGGAGCTTCTGGCTGGAGGATGCCTAGTGGCAGATCCACCCCTACAGTGGAGATGCAGGGACTGGACCAGTGTAGTTCCAGAATACTGGCTGTTAGCATCATCCCCTCAGTTCCAGTTTCAGAAGTCACCTTCCAATCATGACTCCTCTTCTCACGGAGAGAAAACAAGGTCAAGATCTGACAAAACAGACTGGGATGCTTGGCAGGTACAATTCTCAAGGGAAATAAAAAGTGCATTTTTAGGACGTTTAATCACAAAATATTTCAAACATACAGAAAATAATATGAGATGAGCTGGGCGCAGTGACTCATGCCTGTAATCCCAGTGTTTTGGGAGGCCAAGGCAGAAGGATTGCTTAAGGCTAGGAGTTTGAGACCAGCCTGGGCAGATAGCAAGATCCTGTCTCTGAAAAAAAAAAAAAAAAAAAAAGAAGGCCGGGCATGGTGGCTTATGCCTGTAATCCTAGGACTCCGGGAGGCTGAGGCAGGAGGATCACTAGGTCAAGAGATGGAAACCATCTGGCCAACATGGTGAAACCCCGTCTCTATTAAAAATACAAAAATTAGCTGGGCATGGTAGCATGCACCCATAGTCCTGGCCAGTCGGGAGGCTGAGGCAAGAGAATCGCTTGAACCAGGGAGGTAGAAGTTGCAGTGAGCTGAGATCACACCACTGCATTCCAGCCTGGGTGACAGAGCAAGATTCCGTCTCAAAAAAAAAAAAAAGAGAGAGAGAGATAACTTTACCTTTATTGATAGTGAGTTGTGTTTGCTTCACAGTTTTCAAAAAAACTCTGAGCTATTAAAACACAGAGACTTTGGCCGGGCGCGGTGGCTCAAGCCTGTAATCCCAGCACTTTGGGAGGCCGAGGCGGGTGGATCGCAAGGTCAAGAGATCGAGACCATTCTGGTCAAAATGGCGAAACCCCGTCTCTACTAAAAATATTAAAAAAAATAAAATTAGCTGGGCATGGTGGCGTGTGCCTGTAATCCCAGCTACTCGGGAGGCTGAGGCAGGAGAATTGCCTGAACCCAGGAGGCGGAGGTTGCAGTGAGCCGAGATCGTGCCATTGCACTCCAGCCTGGGTAACAAGAGAGAAACTCCATCTCAAAAAAAAAACAAAACAAAAAAAACACAGAGACTTTAAGCACAAATAGGCCCAAGAGGCTGGGCGCGGTGGCTCACGCCTATAATCCCAGCACTTTGGGAGGCCTAGGTGGGCGGATCATGAGGTCAAGTTATCGAGACCATCCTGGCCATGGTGAAACCCCATCTCTACTAAAATACAAAAAGTTAACCAGGCGTGGTGGTGTGTGCCTGTAGTCCCAGCTACTCACGAGGCTGAGGCAGGGGAATCGCTTGAATCGGGGATACGGAGATTGCAGTGAGCTGAGATCGTGCCACTGCACCCCAGCCTGGCAAAAGAGCAAGACTCTGTCTCAAAAAACAAATAGGTCCAAGACCAGCATGCCTATAAACTGGCTGAGATGTGTTTGCAAGGGCAGCATTATTGGAAATAAGTATATGGCTTCCTAAGATATTACTTTGAAAGACAAAAATTATCAGCATGAGTACGTTTTCACATACGTCAGATCTCAGCTCAAAGGCAGCTTTTCTGACCTTCTTGACAAAGTCAGATTCTTCTAGCACAATCTCTCACGGTATCTTATACCTACCCTTATGGCACTCACCACTGCTGTGATGTTACATTTGTTCCCATGACTACAGGACTAATGCCTTTCTCTTCCACAGACTGCAAGCTCCATGAGGGGTGAGTTTGTGTTAAATTTTATTCACTATTATATCTTTGGCATCTAACACTAGTACTCGTCAGTAACAGGCAGTCAATAAATGTCTTTTCAATGAATGAATTCAATTGTAAACACGAATCTCCTTAAGTACCTACCCAAAAGAAATGAAAACATATGTCCACACACAGACATCTACTTGAAGGTTTATAGCAGCATTATTCATAACAGTCCCAATGCAGAGACAATCCGAATGTCCATCATTTGGTAAGTGATAAATGAAAGGTGGCATACGCAGACGATGGAATGCCATTCAAGCTATTTTAAAAAGTACAAACTGATAAAACACTCTACAACACAATGAACCACACAATTATTACATTAAGTGAAATAAGCCAGGCACAGAAGATTACATATTGTACTATTCTGTTTATATGAAATTTCTCAAAAGGGCAAAACTCTTAAGAAGAAAGCAGATCGATGGTTTCTGGGGCCTGTGGGTGGGAGTGGAGATTGACTGCAAGTGGGAACAAGAAACTTCTGAGGGTGATCTAAAACTGGATTGTGGTGATGGTTGCACAACTGTATAAATTTACTAAACATCCTCAAACTGTATACTTGCAGTAAGCAAATTGTATGGTATGTGAATTATACCACAATAAAGCTGCTAAAAATGTTTTAAAAAATCAATCTCCTTACTTAGTCATTTTATCCCAATTTAGGTTCTGTGGAACATTATTTCTGTGGGGCATTGTGCCAGAAACTGCTAGTTGAGTCTCTCAACTCTTTAGTGACAGACCCAATTTTTAACTTGGCACACAGAAAAGCAAAATAAAAGACCAGATTTCCTAGCCTCCTTTGCAGCTTGGCATGGTCATATGACCAAGTTCTGGACAATGAGACATAAACAAAAGTAGTGTGTAGTATTTCCAGGAAGGTTGTTCAAGGGACTCAACTCCATTTTTTCCATTTTGCCTTTGTTTTTCCTTCCATGGACTGGTGCTCCAGCAGCCATTTTGGACCATGAAGTGACCTTGGGAATGAAAGCTAAGGATAATGGAGCAAACACATTGAAGCCTGGATGCTCGAAGGTACCAGAGAGCTGCCATGCCACCCCTGGACAGCCTGCTTCCCAAACTTCTTTTTTGTAAGACAGAAATAAACTTTAATTTTCTTCTTTTTTGTTGTTTTGTTTTGTTTTGAGACAGAGTCTCGCTATGTTGCCAGGCTGGAGTGCCAGTGGCGTGATCTCGGCTTACTGCAACCTCTGCCTCCTGGGTTCAAGCGATTCTCCAGAATAGCTGGGACTACAGGTATGTGCCACCATGCCCAGATATTTTTGTAATTTTAGTAGAGACAGAGTTTCACCATGTCGACCAGGCTGGTCTTGATCTTTTGACCTCATTATCCACCTGCCTCAACCTCCCAAAGTGCTGGAATTACAGGCGTGAGCCACCAAGCCTGGCCTAAAATTTAATCTTATTATATCGTTCTCTCATATTTATGCAGCCAAATTGAGTCCTAAGCGATACCAGTTTTAACAGGTGTTAAATGAAAAGAAGGTTCTGGGGTCAAACAATCTTGAGAATTATTACATTAAAATTTAACAAATTTCTTATAATGCAGGACCTCTCAGAGTTTTTAATATGTGAATAGGAATCTCCAAGAACCTTCAGGAGGGGATAGAGTATACTCAACTTCCCATAACTTGTCCCCCAAACCTCTTTTTAGTGGAACACCTTAGGACAGATAACTTAGGAAGAATGAAATGTTGCTTTAAAATTTTTTTGTATTTTTGACTCTTCCTTTCTAACCCATCCTTTTCCAGGTAGCTAGAGAGATATTGGTTAAACATAAACTTGATGATATCACATCCTTGTTTTAAATCCTTAAATGATTCCTGTAAGATACATTTCAAATTCCTTCATGTAACATACAAGACTTGGCCAGGTGCTGTAACTCACGCCTGTAATCCCAGCACTTCGAGAGGCTGAGCTGGGTGGACCACCTGAGGTCGGGAGTTGGAGACCAGCCTGACCAACATGGAGAAACCCCGACCAACATGGAGAAACCCCCTCTCCACTAAAAATACAAAATTAGCTGGGCATGGTGGCACATACCTGCAATCCCAGCTACTCGGGAGGGAGAGGCAGGAGAATCACTTGAACCTGGGAGGCAGAGGTTGCGGTGAGCCAAGATCACACCATTGCACTCCAGCCTGAGCAACAGGAGCGAAACTCCATCTCAAAAAAAAAACAAGACTTTTTGTGATCTGGCCTTTGCCTTTTCTCTAGCCTCACCCTAACCATCTCCACGACCCTCTGCAGTGCTGAGAACTAAGTCTATTTTCTCTACCTCTACACATACTATGCCCTCTTCCTGGAACACTTTCTACTTGCCACGTTGCCTGGAATTCTACTCTGATCTTTAAGACCAGGCTTAGGTATCAGCTCATTCACTCTTATCCATACTTCAAGAAATGCCTACTATGTGCCACGCATTGCAATTGTGCTTGAGTTACAAACACAGTCCCTGCCCTGGAGTGACATGGAATCAAATGAAGTTAGACAAGTACTGTATCAGACAGGGTATGCTAATGGCTGTAACAGACAACTTTCACATTTCAGTGACTTGATATTGTGACATTTTATTTCTTGCTTACACCACAATCCACTGCAAGTGAGCACAGAGGTTCTACTCCATGCAGTGAGCCACCATTGCCATTTTCTGGGGCCTCTGAGTCCTCCATTCGATATTTTTGCATCTGGCCAGGAATGAGGAAAGGAAAAGTTTCGAAGATCACACGGGAGTTTTTAGGGGATGTCCAGAAATGGGATATATCTGCCACTTCTGTCCAGATTTCATTACCCAGAGCTCAGTCACATGGGCCTACCTGATTACTGAGAAATTTAGTTTTGTTACAAGCCTAGAAGGAAAATGAAATGGGCTGATGAAAACAGTTTTGGTTTTTTTTTTCCTGCTACAGATACATTAACAAGAACAATAAAGAAGTTCATGGCCTAACAGAGGAAACAGACAAGTCAACAGAGGCATGAAAGCAAGAGAGAACATAGACAGGTGGGATGCAACTCTTCCTTTGTGGAGTTCTAGAACTGCTAGAAATCTGTCTGTGGCTCCCTTCAGAGCTCCTAAGGATTGCTTTTCCCAGCCCTTTGGAAATGGGGCACATTATATGGTACAAAAATTTGTGCATCACTGGCATCACCCTTGTAGCATCAATCATCGTTCGTTCCAGCAGCTGCTGTGGCATCAAGCTCTGCGTGGGCACCATCTGACTTCACACAGCTGCACCCTGACAGTGCTTTGCCTCATGGTCCTGCCACGTGCCTCTTGCCAGGTTCCCTATTGACACTGAGTTTTGGGACACTGCAGAAGCCCCCTCAGCACCTATGCATGAACAACTGGTGTGAGTCTTTATCCAATGAGATGAGCGGATGGATAGATTCCCTTCCCTTCCCCCTCCCATAGGCTATTCTGAGACTCATTCTACATGGCTTATTGGAGGATAATCCCTTGAGCAGAAGCAATCAACCATACTTAGGCCAGATTAATAACCATCTTGGTATTGGCTCTTCCTTCCTCCCTACTTTACTCCTTTTGCTTCACTCCTGCCCTATAGAATCAGGCTCTGCTTTTGGAGACGCAGGCCAAGACACCGCCATGAATGGGTATAGCTAAAAGCAACTTAGCCGTCTCTGTTTCCTTTTTCCCTCCAGTTCCTCCCCCCTGGTTCCTGCTGAAGTACCTTGGGTCAGACTCCACTAACTCCTCTCAGTTCTGTAGACCCAATTCTCATTGGATAAGGTCAAGTCTGCCACCTCTCCTAAATGTAGTCCCCAGACCATAGCTGTGCTTGTACCTGTCCCACTCATTTTTGAGTCAGTCATATACTCCTATTGATTTCTTTTTTGGTGACTCAGTATTGTGTCTCTGTGTATCTCTAACTTCTTATGTGCTACCGACTTTTCTCAATGTTTAAGAACAGCAATTACTGACAAGTCTAACTTTTGTCTCCCTCCTGCTCCCACACCTCCCCAGGATGCCTCTTGCATTGGTACATACATACTGCTCTGTCTAGAGTCCCACCTCATTTATGTTATTTCAATTCTTGTAGGCAAGAGACTTTATTATGCAAAGGGAAGGCCATTTGACTCCCACATAGGACCCACCAAATCTATCTCTGATTTAATTCTGCTCCCAGCCTCTTTCAAGACCTGAGAGCCCACAGACCTGAGTCCCATGGGCACTGTTGAGAGCTTTGGAACCCTTGATTCTGGTGTCTGAGCTGGAGAGGCTGTGGCTACCAGCTGCCTGGTCCTGCCTCAGGTTCAACTTCAGCTCCTGAAGCAGCTGGATCAGAAGGTCAAGCAGGCTATCCCCAAGGGCTGCAGCAGGGGGGCAGCCCTCAGTATTCTCACTTGCCAGCAGCTTGGCAAAATTGGATATCCTAAGGATCTATGCATAACTCTCTTATCTCATCCTCAACTAGACTATAAGCTCCTTGAGGGCAAAGATGTGATTTGTCTTGTTTAATGCCGCATCCCTTGTGTCTAGAACAATACCTGGAACATAGTTGGTGCTTAATAAATAACTGTGTAGGGGAGGAAGAAAGATGAAGAAAGAAAGACCATGAGACATCTTGGCCAGCCTTCAGTCAAATGACAGAAATGCACACAGATAAGAGAGATGGGCAGCAGGGGGCTTCTGCCTTTGTTTTCAAGCTGGAGAAATCTCTGGTGTCTGCCAAGAAGTGAAGAGTGCTACTCAGAAGAGAGTTAGGGCCACAGGCTGAAAGCCATCAGAAAACAGGGATTTCAAAGAAGCTAAAAATATTCTCTCTCTGGGGGGTACAGCAAGGCTCTGCTAAATCATTATCATTGCCCCCGACACAGTCAAAATGTTCTTATCCTAAATGTATCCCACAAGCTGCTCTTAGAATCCTCAGACTCAGATAATTTCTGCTTTAATTGAGGAAGAATGAGGCTGTACAGTCAGAATCCAATCAGTTTCGAGGAGAGCAGGTGACTGCCAAGGTCAGGGTGGGAGGGGGCAGTAATGGGATGCCATAAAGAGTATTCACCCAGGCAAGGCAAACTCTCCATCACTCCTTTCTTAATTTAGGATTTTCCTAATTCCTAAACTCTGGTCTAATTCCCCTCCTTCTTCCATATTATTTTCTTTACAGCATTTATTAATACCTACCCCTTGTACTCAGTCTTTCGCCTATTCCATGAAAGCAAGGGCTTTGTCTTGTTGACCGCAGTATTCTCTGTTTTATATCAGGGTCTGGAATTTAGTGGGCACTCAAAGATTAGCTGCCAACAGACGAATTCGAGAGTGTAACAATTAGTTGAATCTCTGCCAAATACTGGGCCCTGTCCTTGAAGATGTTGTAAGGATGGTAGGGGCGACAGGCCAGAAAGTAAATGCACCATAGCTTGACACCTGATTTCACGGAGATCTAACCAAGGCGCTGCAGGATCCCCGGGGCTGGAAAACTCCCGGGTTTGCGGGGCCTTGGGAAGAAGCCCGTCAGGAGCCAGGAGTGCCAGGGAGCCGGGCTGAGCGGCAGGAGACGCGGCTGAAGGGTGCTCCTCGGTTCGCTTGGTCACTCAGCATCATCTTTTCATAACCTGCGGGTTCCTCGCCTCTCCCTGCATCTTGCCTGCGTGACCTCGGCCCCAGCGGAACCCCTGTGTCGCGGGACCCCAGCCACATCCTCTTCCACCCCCGGAGACGCCAGCCCCGGATCTTCCAGATCGCTAGCCCGCTACCTGAGAGACCTCCACCTGCGGGCTGAACCCCCGCGGGCGCCCGCGCGTCCCTGGTCCCCGCCCCCTGCCTGCGAACTGCGAAGTGCGGGACCCCGCGGGACCCCGCCCCACCCCCTCGGCCCGCTGGACCCCGGCCCCGCCCCGCCCCTGTGGCCCCGCCGCTTGTCCCGGGGGGGCGGGGCCGCGCGCAGCGGCGTCTCCAAGGCGGGGGGCGCTAGGCAGGAGGCGGGGCGGTCTCAGCGCCGGCCAATCAACGCCGCGATCACATCCATGCAAATACGAGCACAATGGAGCTAGCCCATCACTCGCCCCTGCAAGCAAGCTTGAAATGGGCTTCTGCCTGAGCGGCAGCAGGGATGACCAATGGCTCAGTGTTTTGGGCCGGCGAAGCCCAATGGTGCAGCAGGGAAGGCGGGTCCGAGCTGGGTTAGGGTGTCCTTGCAGGGTGTCTGAGCTAAACTTCACCAAATAATAGCTGTTTGTATTTTGGCTGCTGCAGGAGCCATTTTAGGTAAGTTCTTCTCTTAACTTTTTATTTTCCTTCCTGGCCTCGGCGGACTGGCCTTGTCCGCGGGTCCTCGGCCCCGCCCCGCCGGCCGGGCTAGGGTGCCCCTATGAATGGAGCCGGGATGAGGGGCTGCGGCGGCGCCCAGGCCCGGTCGGACTGGGGTCCGAGCGGGGCCGGCGGGCGAGCGGCCTGGCGGAGGGCAGGCGGCGGCCTGCGGCCTGGGAGAGGGTCGGTCTCTGCCGCGCCCGGCTTCTGCTCTCGCTCCAGCTTTCTCTGTGGCCGGGCGGCCGTCCTTGGGAGTGCGCCGCTGCGGGCCGCGCGCAGGGGCGGGGGTCCGGGGGAGACCCCGGCCGCGGGCCTGGCGGGCGGGGGCGGGGCGTGCGGAGGCCCCCTCGGGGAGGGCGCGGTGGGACCCCCGGGCCCGGCGACGCTGGGGCGGGGCGGGGGTGACCGCTCTTCCCGCCGCCGCCCCCGCCGAGAAGTTGCTCTATTCGCGTCCTGCGTCTGTTTGCAGGGGTGGAGGAGGGTGGGCTGGTGCCAGGCTGCTTCTCCGGGAGGGGGCGGGGGCCCTGGCGCGGCCTCGGATCGCGCACCCCCTCCGCCCCCTACTTACGCCACTAGCGCGCACTCGCCCGGAAAACTGGAGCCCTGGGGGGGTCCCGGAACCCAGCTGCCAAGTTTTGAGCATTATTAGATTGCATGTTTGATCTTTAAAAAAAAAAAAAAAATCTGTCCTCTTCGGGGTATTTATTTTCTTCGCTGTTGAGAAGTAACGGAGTCCGTTGCGCCCAGATTTCCAGGGACCTGCCTGTCGGATGTGCAGAGGGTTGGCAGCTACTCGAATTTTTTTTTTTTTAAGGCGTTATTAGGAAATCCCCTCACTAGTGAGATAATTGAAATTTGAGTTTGTTTGCAGCTTCAATTTTATTTGATGCAATTAAAAATGCATAAGCAGACACTTTATATTTGTGTACCTAAAGTATTCCTAGTTCCAGTTATGACTAATGTGACTGTGGTTTCAGTCGTGTGGGATCTAATAAGGCAGTATAATTCAATTTTGAGCTTGTAGGCCCCTGTTCTTCAAATTAGGGTTTATGGACCATTAGTAATCCGGCCAAGGTTTCTCATGAATCTTTGGCATCTCTGAGGATCTCTCTGGGGCTGTGTGTGTGCCTTATCTCTCACCCCTTGAAAACTCTATGTTTCTGGTAGCAGATCCGCGAAACCGAAAATACACATTTTAAATATTTACAGTTTTCAAGATGTCTGAAATATTGCCTGAGATTTTATTATTGTTTCCCAGATGGTATATAACAGTACCATCCCAGTGGGCCCCAAATTTCGATGTACTTTATGGAAATATGTTTGTGGTGTTTTGGGGAAAAAACCCAGGCAGGCCACTGGGTTTTGCTCCCTTGGCTGATGTGAGCTGTGGCACTTACTGGGGGTCTGTCCCATTGATTTCATGGCACAGTAGAGTTTGACTGTAAGCCAAATTGGAAAATCACGTTGGCATCCTCAGAGAGAGTTTTTGTGAACTTTGTGGCTCTCTGGCAACAGAAAGAAGATTTGAGATCTGTGTATGATAAAATGATTAGGCATGAATCCTCAAGTAACATGGTTTATGCCAAGCAGAGCAGGTGGTTTAATGTAAGCAATGCATCATTATAACCAAAGGCCTTGGGAAAATGCAGAGTGGTAAGATTATTAATTTTGGAGTTCTTTCTGTTCCAGGGCAGATTTCATAGATGAATTATAAGTTCTTTTGAATTTAAACTTTTTTCTTGATGAATGGGCGACTAAAAGCTACCTTGCACACACCTTTCCCACCTTTTTGTTAGCTTTGGAGTCTGTCTAATAGTAACCAGACTACCGTACTGTTCTTGGTGTAGTCTGGCCGTGGGCAAAGTAAATCTAGACCTGTGGTGAAATTGAGTTGTGTGGATCAGTCTCCCTGGAGTCACGTTTTTTTATTCTGCAGTTATTTCTTTGCTTTTCCCATTTAGCTCTTGTTATATTTAATAGCACTGCCAACTCTTTCAATATGATCACTTTACAACTGTTAAATATTCCATGTCTTTATAATTTGTATAATTTATTATTCGTGTAGTTGGAAGTTCTCTGAACTCATCAGTGTATTACTTAAGGCAAAGTACACAAGGCATTTAAAGACAAGTTAGAAGTAAAGTGGGAGAAATACAACTAACTGCTGCATTTCTGGAAGATCCTTTGACAGTTACGTTTTTGTATTTATTGATTTTTGTATAACTATTTCAAATACCAAAGAAAACCTGAAGCAGAATTATATCTCATTAGAAACCACATCTTATTTGTGATTTTGCTGTAACATTGCAGAAAACCTGTCAGAAACAACAGGCGGCCCTTGGGCTACTTTGTGTTGGAGAGCTCCTTGGTTTATAAAAGTTTCGGAGAAATGTTTTGGTTTTCTTCGAAGTATGGCTTTGCCCCAAGCAGAGTTTGTGGTTATGTCTTCCTGTGTTGTACCACGAGGTTCCACAACGTCAGGCTTGATTCTCCCTGTAGGTGCCTATGTTTTTCACCTTTCATGGAAAGACTTTAATTGATAATTACTAAATGAGATCACTCATGGACCACCCATGTTCTAAATCTCTTTGAAGAAGTTTAAGGATTCAGATTCTACCTGCAAAAATATCTTTGGTATGGGAATGGCAATAACAGTATATCCATATCTACTGAGGAGGCCATACTCTCCCTCCCTCCTTCCCCTTTCCCCGCCTGGTATAACAAGGCTTGAAATAGTTTTGTTTTTAATACATATTTAATGATTCTCTTATATTTCATTGCTCATGCAAAGCTTTAGTTTAATTCAAGTGAAAGGTGCGATGAATTCCATAGGATTGCCTGTATTCTCCTGTACCAGGTTATTATATTGAAAACTCTTTGAAATACATAAAATGATAGCCAGAGCTTAGATACCTGTTCGAGAGAGAGAGAGAATATATATATATATATATATTTTTTTTTTTTTTGCAATGGAATGTGACATACTTGTGAGGGGAGCAGAAAGAACTAGCATTGATTGAATACCTGGTGTTTGTCCAGTACTCAGCTAGATACTGGGGCTACAGAGATGAGAAAAATACCTTTGCTTTCATAGCTACTTCATGAGGTTGGGCTGCAGCTGAGAGAGATAAAGTAACTTATTAAAGGCCATAAAGCTAGTCAATGATAGAGCTAGAATTTGAACCCAGATCGTTGGTGTCCAGGACATGTCCTTTTCACCAACAGTTCTCTCTAAAGGTTTCTTTAAATGCTCAAGTGTGCTGTAGTATTTTAGTGATACGGTGTTAGGTTACTTAACTAACACACCTTCCCTAAGTTCTTCTACACATGCATCCATTTTTACTTTTCCATTTCAAGAATTTGTCACTGAAGAGGAGTGTTAGAATACAGCGAGGATACCCTTTTTCCCCCTTTGTCTCCATGGAGTAGGAGTGGTCTTCCTGGGCAGTTTGGAGTTCAGGTGTACCCTGGTACAGTAATAACCATGAAGTGCAGAGGGAGAATGCAGTCACTTTTTCCTTGCCAAAATGTTCTTTTCTTTGGTTCATGTTGTGGAGGCGTTGATACCCTCATGAGAAATTCTCTTCTTTCCATAAAAGTCCTGAAGGTAGTAAAATTGAGTTATTTTAAAATATCCGTGCTTGTCCCTGTTCCTGAACTAAATCATCAGCATAAAATCCAAAGAAAAACGTTTTATTTTTTCCTATAGTACCTGTATTTGTTAGTTTTTACAGTCAGTAAATAGTAATTCTGTACATTCTCTTACATTATTCATTATGTTGTTTGCCTTCACTGTTCTATTTTGTAACCTTAAGAATTTGTAATGGGTGTATATGATATAACTTAAATAGCTCCTCTTTTGAAGAATCACAATTTTTTTTTAATTGATGAATGTTTTTTCTTTATAATCATAATAAAGGACTTAACAAATTTTAGCAAGGAACACACCTGAGTTTTCAATGGACTCCCATGGTGTTTTTGTTAGCTATTTCAAAAGAACTTAATATACTATTTGAACATTTCAGGACACTAGGAAGTAGAATTGTGAGATAACTTAGGGACAGGAATCCAAACATATGTAGAAAGTGATGGATATATCTTTAAATTTTCTAAACAAGTAAAGGGAGATTTCCATTTTTTTTTTACCCATTTATTTATTTAATTTTGAGACAGAGTCTTGCTCTGTCACCCAGGCTGGAGTACAATGGCATGATCTCAACTCACTGCAACCTCCACCTCCCAGATTCAAGAGATTCTTCTGCCTCAGCCTCCTGAGTAGCTGTGATTACAGGCATATGCCACCACGCTGGGCTAATTTTTGTATTTTTTAAGTAGAGATAGGGTTTCACCATCTTGGCTGGGCTGGTCCCAAACTCCTGACCTTGTGATCCGCCCGCCTTGGCCTCCCAAAGTGCTGGGATTAGAGGTGTGAGCCACTGCTCCCAGCCTTTTTACCCCTTTTTAAGGATACTTGCAAGGGATAGTCGCTGATCTCATTTTATGGATCAAATATGTTATTCTTTATCAAGTAGTTAACTTTTTAATATATTTTGGATTTTCTTGTATACTATGTGACCATTTTGTTTTTGGAATCTTTTTTTTTTTTTTAATTCTAAGATTGTCTTTATGTAAAAGCCTGGCTTCAGGTTAAAAGTTCCAACT